GGTGCCGGGCTAAATGTGTCAATCAGCGGCGCTGGAAAGGACGCCGGCAAAGTCAACACGTCGGCCTAAAATAATGCGTGGCGTGCACAGCATCGGCCGGAATACGTTTCTCCAAAAAAATTAATAAATACAAATTTTTTAAAAAAACGCTTCGTTAGCATTGTGCTATACACGCATGCTGGTGTATGGTTAAAACAATAAAAAAACACCGCTCACATCACTTAAACCTGTAAAATCGTTTGAATTCCCCCAAAATGAACCTGAGTCAAAAATGAATTTAAAATAGGTCAAGAGATAACATGATTCAAATTTTTCCCCAATATCTCAAAGGAAAAGCAGTGGAGAGGACATCTGGATCCTTTTTTTTTTTTTTTTACTTGCTGTTTGAGTGACTGTGTTGAATTTAAATCCTTGCAATCGGTTTCCTCAAACTATTTGAGTTGAGCTTTGACAACCTGGGAAAACAACACAATCGTGGATGGCTTTCTGTACTTTGTCACAGAACGGTCAAATTTACACGCGTGATCTGCTGAACGGATTCGGCGGCGGCCGTTTTCAGCTCAGCCTTGTCCATCTTGCCACTCGTTTGAAAGCATTTCAACGGTTGTGTCGAGACCCTCACAATCGGGACTTTGATGGGACAAGCACAGGACAGAGTTGATTTTTGTCTTTCATGAGGAGGTAAAAAAAAAGGTCGTTTGGATCTTTTTCCAGTCGACGTTGCTTTCACGGAGAATCCCAGTTTCTGATCAAAAGGCAGAGAAAAGGAGCCTCGTGACACTTCGTGACATCTGACTTTTTGAAGCATTTTGGTGGGTATGTGGGAGGAAACCGGAGTACCCGGAGAAAACCCACGCAGGCACGGGGGGAGAACATGCAAACTTCTCACAGGGGGGGCCGGAGCTGGAATTGAACTGTGAGGTCGACGCACTAACCGCTCGCCTCGTGAGAGACATGTTTACCAAATATGGAAAGCTTAAAAAAGGACTAGACTTGCAAAAAAAAAAAAAACTCTCAAGGTTTGTCTTTGAACTAGCAAGCAAAATAGTAAAAAAAAAACCATCATTAAAATGGTCGCTTCTAAATAAAAAGGCAAACTTTCTGTGTACTTTTGGGCATGTCTTTTTTTGACTTTTTTTTTTTTTTTTTGGAGGCTGAGGGGACAAATAAAACTTTCTGTGTACTTTTGGGCATGGCTTTTTGAGACTTTTTTTTTTTTTTTTGGAGGCTGAGGGGACAAACTATCCCCCACCCCCAATCTTCCCCGCTCCGTTTAAATGGAACAGCTCTAAATAAATCTTTAATTACGTGGCTATCGGAAAAGACTTTCATGTTTTTCCAAATGAAGAAAAAGAAGCGCGCTAACCGGTTCTTTCGATTGATGCCAACGCGGAAAAATAAAACTTTGGGGACGTCGCTTCTATCAAGCGATAGCCAGCAGCTCATCAGCCAAAGTCGTTAATTCTACGTTTTTTATAATTAGGCGCGCTCGCCGCGTCTCCCCGACACAGTCGCAGACCGACGCGATGAATTGGATCCAGCTAGCATACGAGCATCTGCACACACTGCTGCTTCTCTACTTTGCAGGTTTGTTTGGTGCTGCACAACCGTAAAAATGAAATATTGTATTCAATCAGCCGTTTCTTTAGATTTACAGATCCCCCCCGTCAGCTCCGTTTTTGTTTTTGGTGTCTCTATCTGTACTTCTTTAGCTTTACAGATCCCCTGTCAGCTCCGTTTTTGTTTTTGGTGTCTCTATCTGTGATCATCTTGAACAATCCAATATGACCCAACGCAAGAACGATATTTGGCTCATCTCGAGCAATTTGAATTAAAAATTCGATTTGGTTTATCGACGGGAGAATCATTTGATTTGATCGACATATTTTGCTCATCTAAAAGGAGGAAGAGGAGGAGGCTGGCCACATGTTTGCATTTGCATAAATGTTCTGCTGCGCGGTCAGCAGGAAAAATGATTTTCAAGCAGAAACTTTGTTTTTCCTCTTATGCGTGAATGCGGAATGCAAATAAACCGAGAGCAAAACAAATAAACAAAGAAATAAATCGGTCGCTGCCAGCAGCATGACCAATCCTGTTCTTGCTCTCGGTCGCGTGAGCTTCGAGGGAGCGCGGCCACCGACGCTTTAATGTCGCCGACGCTTTGCTCCACCTGCGATGTTCCGTTTTGACTCTGACCGCAGGCGCAGCCGCTTAACGATGTCGTCCACTGTCGCGCGAGCTTCGAGGGAGCGCGGCCACCGACGCTTGCTCCACCTGCGATGTTCCGTTTTGACTTTGACCGCAGGCGCAGCCGCTTAACGATGTCGTCCACCCAGAGGGAACACGTTGGAGGTTATTTTCACAAGTTTCACCTTGGTGGTCACGTGATATGTTAGCATTGCATCAAATTCGCGTGAACAAACGTCCTTTGTCAATGTCACCAGACACCTTTTTCCCTCATTTTAACGTTGTCCCAGCCTATTTAAGCCTCATTTTCGCACCGTGTGTGAAAGATGTCAAACTCATCGTATTGTATTCTACCACTGATCACTTTAGCTCTGCTTGATACTTTGCACATTGTCTCGCACTTGTCACTGGGTGGGACCGCAGGCGCAGCCGCTTAACGATGTCGTCCACGTTGGAGGTTATTTTCATAAGTTTCACCTTGGTGGTCACGCGATATGTTAGCATTGTGAACAAACGTCCTTTGTCAATGTCACCAGACGACATTCGGCTGCCCCAACCAGCAGCGGAAGGACAGGGAAAATTGGCAGGCGTCAAAAAAAAAAAAAAATGACACTACAAAGTCTTCCGGCACAACAGAAGCAGCGCGAGACATCGCTGTCAAAAATGAATGACACCTTTTTCCCTCATTTTAACGTTGTCCCAGCATATTTAAGCCTCATTTTCGCACCGTGTGTGAAAGATGTAAAAACTCATCGTATTGTATTCTACCACTGATCACTTTAGCTCTGCTTGATACTTTGCACATTGTCTCGCACTTGTCACTGGGTGGGTGGTCCCACCGTACTACGGTTCACTTAGATGACGAAATGTCCTTCCATACCTATTTGTCATGTCCTTGTTTATGATGATACGAATGCAGCGTGTTATACCGGAGACAAATTCCTTGTGTGTTCTACATACTTGGCCAATAAAGATGATTCTGATTCTGATTCTGATTTGTGAGGTGAGAGGTCTGAACGCACGACTCACTCACAAGCAGACGCTCCCACGTGATGTGCATACGTCACACGTCGTCCTCCACGCGTGCGTGCCACACAGTGAGGTGAGAGGGCTGAACGCACGACCCACTCGCAAGCAGACGCTCCCACGTGATGTGCATACGTCACACGTCGTCCTCCACGCGTGCGTGCCACACACAAACACACACTCCTGCATACGATTATTCGTATAGCTGTCTCTCTCTCTCTCTCTCTCTCACACACACACACACACTCATGCACACAAAAACATGTCCCGTAGCCAAAAGAAGCAACTTTTAATTGCTCCTTGGTGGGTGTGGGCCCTTCGAGCAGGAGAAGAGAAACACCTCCTTCTGTCTCCACCGTTCCTGCCTCCATGTTTGTTCGACACAATCACCTCCGACACACACACACACACACACACACACACAGAGAAACACAGCGTGAATAATGCTTCCTCGCGGAGAGTCCTAGTCGTGACGGTCCAATCCAGGCCATTGCAACACAACAAGAGGGGAAAACAAGCTGTTTATTTCTGCTGTTTTTCCTTGTTATTCCCATTCTGTCTGACCCCAGCCCCCCCCCCCATCGCGGCGGATGCCGGCAAGCTCCCCACTCGCCATCAGCATCACTGTCAAGCCCTTCTAGGGGGCCCACACCGTTCCGGCTAAAACGGAGCAGACATGCCGGAACCACCCCCCCACGCCCCCAACTCAAGCCCCATCCCCATTTGTATTCGCTCGCCGACCCTTTCATTAGGCACACTTGAACAAACGAATGCAGGGGGTGTCCAAATTGTTTTCATCGCCGAGCCAGGTGGTACTTTTGGTTCTCCTTTGTGGAGAACAGCAAAAGCAATAAATACCTCACTCTCACTCTTCACTTCTTTTCACTTTAGTTTCAGGTATCGTTCGAGCAGATTTGAGGCCATCAGCATTTGGACCGTTTGCGTTTTGTGTTTTGTTCTGCAGCAAGTTTTTCGGCGCCCATTTGAAAAGCTTTACGGCCATCACACTGCTCTGACGAATGCAACAATATTGTGACCTGGCGTAGCAAAGTGAGTCACAGTGAGTCACATTTCAAAAAGGAGTGACAATACAAAACGTTTTTTTTTTCCCCCAACTGATCCCATGTTTTAAACCTAGTAAGTATAAACCTGAAGCGGGTGGAGGAATGAATTACGTTCCGACTTACTTTCAATGTCCATGCATTGACTTTGATGGTAAAGCCGCCCCTGCCAACATGGCCGCCGCGTCGGCGCGGCAGTCAGCCGGGTCGCGACAGCGCGCTGGTGTTGACCTGTGATTACACATTACCCGACTCGAAACCAACCGCAATAGACCAACCAGAGGCCAGTATTTTGAGGTCGTGAACTTCGGCATAGCGACTGAAGCTGGAGTTGGACGTCCATTTCTTTTTTAACATCCCCTTCGTCATTCACTCTGTGAAGTGCGGCATCTTTTCTCACCATCGTGACACACACTTCCTACCACCTCACACCACCCAGGGCTCTTTTTTTTTGATACGACACGTACTGTGTTTGAGTGAGAGGTGTCACCGCCGACGATTTTCGTCTACTCAAAAGCTGTGCTGATCTCACATCCAAATCCAATCTAACACAGCCACCTACAGGAATTTGTGTGTCATTACGGTTGTTCACAAACGTGAATATCGGGGACAAGCTGGGTGTGACGCTTCACGGCCCTTTCGCCGTTGACAAATTTACTTGGCGAATAAAATTTGTCGGGTGCAGGAAACGTTTTGGATTTCAGCGTGCGAATGGAAACGTTCCACGGCGCCCAACGCGTTACCAAGGCGGATGAGGTGGGCTCAGTCGCCACTGAAGGCCCAGGGAGCAAATGCGCAGCAAAGCCACCCGTGGTTTACCTTTTATCCGACGCCAGAGCCGTCTCCCCTGGCACGAAAGAAAAATGTTTTCACGAAGCGGGTGTGCGGCAAGCGCAGCCATTAAGAGCAGAGTGTGCAATTGAGCGTCCGCGTCGAAGCAACGGCCTGTGCTGATTCTCATTAACACGTCTAATTTGGCGTTAAGACGAAGCGGATGGCGGGCGTCGGCGCCGTTCAGAGTCCACCCGAGCGAGAGTCGCACTGGCGCCGCGGCGGAAATCAAAATGACACGTCGCGGGCCGATAGATTTTATCGTCTTGGGTGCAACCTGCGTTTAAGTCTCGATTGATCTAGCTGGGAAGCTACACCGTCTTATATGAATGTGATTACGTGTTTTTATACACATCGAAGACTATGCGGAGTCTTCAACGAAGCAAACGGGATGTTTTCCGAAACACCGACGCTAATTTGGGGTCTTCGATGGACCTAAAGTCCGTTTTTTGTTGGCGTCGATTTAGTCTTCACTAGAATTCATGTACGTGTTTTAGTATTCATATTGACACCGATTTTTGACTGTCAAGCAACTGATGTGCGTGTGTTCGTGAACGCTGATGAAATGGAGTTCCCGAGAAAGCTCAGGTACAAGTTTTCAACCTATAACAAACCTAATGCGTGTCTTTTTGCGAACTTTGAGCTTTGTTTACGGTTGAACCGAAGCTTTGTCCTTTCATCAACAGTCTTTTAGTCTTAGGTCGTGTTTTCATAAACACCGATGCCGAGCCTAACGTACGTTTTCACAAACATCGATGGCATGGATTGGAGGCACGCGTTTCCCGAAACTTTTCTTCGTCCTCGATGAGCCGAACGTCCGTGTTTTGTAAGAGCGTTCGATAAACGATCAAACACTCTGAGGGTTCGTTCGTGAATTTCGAGTCTTGCATGAGCTAATCAAACGTGTTTTCATCCACATCGGCGTCGATCGCGAGCCTTCGATAAACCTACCGCGCGTATTTTTTGTAAAGGGTGACGACAATTCGTCTTCAATAAATCTCAGGTAATTATTTTCGTTCAATGCTTTTCATCTACTCAAAAGCTGTGCTGATCTCACATTCAGAGCAACCTACCGCAGCCACCTGTGGGAATTCGTGTGTCATTACGGTCGTCTGCATAACTGAATTTCATCGAGAATTAGTCTTCAATAAATCTCAGGTCATGTTTTCGTCGAACGCCCGCGGAGAGCCGTCAAAGTCGCCCGGACGTACTCACCGGGTCAGCCTGCTGCGCGCCGTGATGCTGGCCGCGATGACGCTCTCCGGCCTGGGCATGGCAACCGCCTTGAAGGTTCCCTTCCAGAACTTCTCAAAGAGCTGCTTCTGATGCAGCATGGCGGCTCTCTCCTGGACCGAAGCCGCCGTCTGCATCATAGCCAGGAGGACGCGCCGGCGTGCATGGGAAGGCGGCCAGGAGCTGTCCAAGTGCTGAAGCCCGGGAGGAGGGGGGGGGGGCGGCTGGTGCGAGCGGAGCGCCTCTCCCGTTCCCGGGGTCAGCGTGTGTCAGCGTGGGACCCCGAGGACGCCCTCCCTCTCGCCTCTCCCAAGTGGATGTATTGTTCTCTCCCAGAAGAGGGGCGCCGCTGGTAAAGGGAGAGGGGCTGCAATCGCGCCCCTCCCTCACATCTGCCGAGTTTGGCTCCAGGCGGCTAATTCCGATAGGTAC